TACAGGTGTTCAAAAATGCTTCACAGAGATTACACTCCTAATATATATGTAAAAACCACTGCTGGCTGAATACAGTATTGCATTCTTTCTTATGCCATTTTAATTAGAAGTTTCCAGACAGTGCTGCAAAGCTTAAAGTTAATTGCTTCCCATGCTTTGCAAATTTACCTGTTTTAACCTGAATTTTATTCGGTTATGTCAATAATGTGAAATTGTTATACTGGTAAAAATACCTTATAACAGGACACAGGCCAGTGATGTTCTCATTAAAACAGAAGAATTGATTCAATGTTCATAGCATGATTTAACAGAGACCTTGGAACACTTTGGTGCACTAAAGAAAGCCTGGGTTAGCAAACTTTGCAGAAAAACAATGTATTTCCTTCAGATTTGGAGACTGATTTCTGGCCAAAAGCAGCATTGCATTTGAAAGGCTGCATCTTTTGTTTTTATAGCCCAGCACTTTTCTCCTCATGAAAAAAACACAAAGAGGGGAAGTAGTTTGTGAAAGAGTACTCAGGAGGCATGGGGAAAGAGACAAGAAAACACTTTGGAAAGAGAGGACAAACTGCTAGATGGAAGATGTTGGATGCAAAGACCGAACATGAAATGCTATAAGTCAGATGCCACTTAAACATTCCAGAGTTGAGAACTGTAAACTTCACACTGCAACAAAACTGAAATTTACATGTATATCAATGCACATCCATAGAGTACAGCATTTAATTTGGAGGCACAAACTTGTTCATGGGACTCGTGATAGAAACCAGAGGAGAAATACTATGCTCTGCTATCAGAGATGAGTTTATAGTGGAAAAATTGAGCCAAGTGAGGCAAGATGTGCAACAGACCCTCCCCCATAAATTATTGTGTTATTTTCTCTAATTTAAGGTTAAACAGAAATATGTTATATAAAATATGCAATGTTTGATTTGCATTATTGTATAATTTCTTGTACACAGTAGCTCTTTTAAGAAGGAAAAAAACCTCAGACTAGCTTATAACAGTTGGTACATGATCTCCACAGTACTGATAAAGTAAAACAGACAGCAAAAGTTTTCTTTTTAAAAGAAAAACCTGTAGATACACAATGCAGATATGTCCACACATTGTTCCAGTGTTCAAATGGGATTTTCACGTGTGAGCAAGGGAGGTGCTGTGGAGTCCCAGGGCGTCAGCAGAATCCACCTGACACAAACTTCATTTGGACAGCAAAGATCACACACACATGCAGAATGATTTACTGCCTCCTGCTGCAAGCGCTAGGACTTCACGTGGCAACAGCTCTCATAAGCTTAAATATAGTCAGACAATACAAAATGTAAAGCACATCATGAATAGCACGTGGGGAGCATTTAGGGAAAGCATGATTAAGAATTTAATACAATTTCCTTGCTTTGCCACTTTTATGCAAGGAATACGACATAAAGTTTAGACCCTAAATGTGTATTTGCAAAAAATACAGTCTTTGT